TGGGGGGGTGGGGTGCGGGGGGGGGCTGAGCACGCGTGGGGTCGCAGTAAGCGAGCGCCCGGCAATAGCGGCGGCAGGCGGGGGTATAGCTCAGTGGTAGAGCATTTGACTGCAGATCAAGAGGTCCCTGGTTCAAATCCGGGTGCCCCCTGGAAAAAATTTTCCGGTTGTGTTTGGTTTTTTTTTGTTTTTTTTTTTTTTTTTTTTTTTTTTTTTTTTCCCCCACCCCCACGCGTGATTCCACCTTAAGGGAAGCAGGCGGAAAACGTCGCGACAGTCCCACGTCGGTGTAGGGTGAGGAGAGCCGTGGCGGCGTTGCTCTCCCTTCAGGCAATCGCCTGGAGGTGTAACAGAGTTACAAGAAATAACGACTTTTTTTTTTTTTTGAAGGGGAAATGAGCCACAAAGACAGGGCAGACACCCGCGTGGGCGAAAGGGAGCACCCTCCTCTCCGGGGCTGTGCTTGGCGCATGGTTTACCAACCACCCAACCAGGTTTAAATTTTTAGCGTAATTTTATTGAAATGCACCGACACGAACGTGAGCAGAAGCCTCTCGACCTCTGCAAGGCCGGCCCCAGCCCCGTGGGGTAACGCACAGCCCCGGTTCGTGGGGGTTCTTCCCGTGTGTGCACGACGACTCACCCACAGTGACATGCACGGAGTCAGGTGGGCAACGTTGACTCCAGTCAATTCGGGTTATTACATTTCAAAAGCTTCAGTTAGAACATTAATTCAATTTCTATCAGGAGATAACGACACCCTAATTCCCCTTCCCCGGAGCCTGTTACAAAAGAACAGGCCTTGGCAATCGCTATTTGCAGGCAGGCTTTAATAAAGCACACCCACATCAAACGAGGCGGCGCTCGGCTCTCTTCCCCCTTATTCATTTCGGGATGTGGCTTAAAATTGGCTTTCTTCGTTTTAAAAGCAGCTTATCTGATCCTCTCACAAAGGCACCCACTCCTTCCCTTTCTGATCACTTCACCCAATGCTTCCCAGCCCCCCCAACCAGCCTCCCACCCTTTCCTGGCCCATCACAGCTTAATAGAAGACGAGCTTTTCTGCTTATCCAGCTCTTTGGGATGTCGTAGGTGGTTTTTCCTCTCTTGGCTCAGGAGACGCTGCTGGGTGAGGGAAGCTCTTCATCACCCAGACATTTTGGGTGCCCACCACCGGTTCAACCTCACCCCTGCAGACAGTGAAGCTGCTGTTGCTTTCCAGGGGCAGCTGAGGGCATCGCTCCGCTGAGGCCCGGCTCCAGCTGCAGTTTTTCTTTCTCTTTTTTCTTTTCACAAGCTGCCTCACATCTGGTGTCTGAAGCATCCGTTCCCGACCCCTCAATTGGGTCGACCCTGCAGCCTGGCCTGCGCTTTCCTCCTTGGAGACTTTGCAGGGGCGATGGGTGCGAGCTGATGTCCTGGGACCCCCGGCTCGAGGAGATGTGCCAGGTAGCACTGCATTGCAATACATTTACGTCGCTACGCCAGACAATGCTTCAGTACTTGTCTCTCATTAGCTACAAACCACGTGTTTATGTTAGTGGTTGATTTTATAGCCATGAAATGACAGGATACTTCTTTGCTTTCTGAAGTTATTATCTGAAACATGCATTTCCTGTTATTTGCTTTCAAGCTGTCAGGATGCTTTCTTCACTCTACGCAGAGCACTCAGAGGACCAGGTAGATGAAATATTACAAGCAGTATCGCTTGTGCTTTCCTCCTGAAATTAGATTTAGGCAATCCCTGAGTAAATAAGAAATAATTTATTGCCACTAGGCAAAGATCTCTTTCACTTTGTGGTTAAGTTACACTGGAATTTGCAGAATCGCTAGGGCTGAAAAATTCACGTGGAGGCAAAACCCAGATGAGGCCAATTCCTTCTGATAACACAGAAAAATTAATTTATTGACTTGCTGTCGAGCCCGGTGAGAGGTGCAGCACACTTGCGGCCGCTCTCTGGCTAAAGCTGATCCCAGCAGCAGCCATGAATCGTGGGTGTGAATCGGCTGCCCTCAAATGTTTTTTTTTCACCAGCTTGGAAAATAACTAATTATTGCTCTTGCTCCTGCTTTTCTGCTAATGCTCTCTCGGTCGCCAAACCTCCGCGTGTGGCTTCTCGCCAGCCTGGGCTTTACCGGCTCCCATCGGGAGGGGGCCACAACGGTCTACCGAATCCTCCTGCTCGGCGGCTCCGGGCGAATGTCCCCACGGTTCCCCGTGGTGCGAGCGGCACCGGGGGGTGGGGGATTTCGTACCCGCTGGTCCCTTCCCGGGCACACTTAGCAAGAACGGCCCGGGGGGGGGGGGGGTCCCCGCCGCCGCGGCGGAGCGGGGAATGCGGCGGGGAGGAAATCGACCGGTCGGGCGGGGGTATAGCTCAGTGGTAGAGCATTTGACTGCAGATCAAGAGGTCCCCGGTTCAAATCCGGGTGCCCCCTTATTTAAATTTTTTTTTTCTTTTTTTTTCCCTCGCCGTCTTTCTTCTCCCCTCCCTCGACACCAAAAAATCGAGAAAGAAAGATTTTTTTCGACCCAAATTATTTCGTAGCGGAAACCGGCCCGAAAGCCTTCCCCGTTGCCCGTGTCCAAGCCGGTCCGTGGCACACGTGGGGATCGGGGAGCGCAGCCCTGCGGGGACCACCGGACCGCCGCCGCTCCCGTCCCCTCCCGGTGCCGCCGGTACCGGGAAGTGCCGCTCCCCGCCGCCTCTAGGGGGCGCCACCAGCGCTCGCTGACTTCCCCCCGCCACGTGACGCAGGCTGCCTTTCCCCACGTGACGTCAAACAGGAAGGGCGGAGCAGCTCTATATCCCGGCGTGCCCCAAGCTCCTCCTTCCTTTTTTTTTTTTCAATCTTCAAAATGTCGAAGCGAGGTGAGGCTGGTGTTGAACCG